CTCAGTAGACCACCAGAGCTCACTGCTGAGTGAAAGAAAAGACATTTATTTATTGGGTGGTACTGTGGGTTATGTTTTGGAGTGCTTAGTGAAAGAGTGGTAATTTAAATCTCCCAGCCACTCTGAGGGAAAGGGTTAAGCAGTTTGATCTCGTTAGAGTCCAAACCCTCAGAAACCATATTTGACTATTTTACTCTTTCTTTAAAAGTTATTTTGACTTGGAAAGATTGTTGTGACTTTGAGGCAGTGGTTATTTTTATCATGTTTGCTGGGTTTAACCCACCCAGGTCATTACCCTCAAATGTCCTTTTGGAACTTGTTTCTTGAAGAAAATGATTTCTAAAAGTCACCTTAGGATCAAAGGATCCAGGTAAACTATGTTTGGCCTGAGACACTGTTCTCATTGGAAGAATTGTCTACTTACAGTTTCAATGGCAGAAGTTCCAGCTGTCATCTAAAGTTTAGAGAAAATTTTAATTGATCTTTAAGATAATACTATTTGACATTTTTCCTGTCTTTAAATTGGTTTATCATTTTTGACCAAACCAATGTAGCATGTGTCTCTGGAGATTTCCTCATCTTTGTACATTTTTTACTCCTACATAAAAAATTTATTACCTTGATTTCCAAATAATGATAAATAAGGGTAATATATTTCTATTGCTGATCTAATCTAATTTTTGTTTTAAGACTATGGTAGAGGTGGAGGTATCCAAGAAAGTATAAAAACTTGGCAGAGGCAGGATGAGGAAATATGACAGCAGTTACAGAAACAAGACAAGAAGTTAGGCTTATCTTCCTCGGGGGAAGGGCTTTAAGTTTTTTCTCTGTTTCATATGCCACTCGGAGACAAAAAGAGAAGAATGTTCCTTGTGCTAAGGAAATGTGTTAGTTCTTTTTCCTATGAAAGGCTTTCTTTCTTTTTTTTTGGCTATAATTAGTTTGAATTATTGAGAAAGTTGGTTTTTAAAAATTTTTGTTTTTAAATTTTGTTTAAATCTAAAACTAAAGAACAATATGACTTTAGGATCTGTAGCAGATTCACCAGCAACCACAATCTTATTTGCTGAAAGTGCCTTACTTAGCATGTTTAAAATGCTTGCTATAGACAATCAAAGATCGATGACTACAGCTTTCAATATGGATTGCATGTCACCATCAAGAAAACAAAAGTCTTCATCATTGGGCTCATGGGCAACATCATGATAGATTGAGAAAAGAGAAAAAGTGTCAAAGATTTTATCTTTTCTCTGTACCCTTTCAACACTCTCTGTAACAGCAGCCAAGAAATCAGAAGATGTCTCACATTGGGGAACTATGCTATCAAGAATTTATCTAAAGTAGTAAAGGCTAGGATGCCAGTTTAAAGACCAAAGTATACCAGATCCAAGCCTTGGTCTTATGAGTAACTTCCTGTGCACCTGAAACTAG